ACTAGTTTATGTTTACGTTAATTAAAGTATAATAAATGCATCTGAATCTTGTAAAATATTTACTTGGAATTTTTTCTATTCGAACTTTCGAACTCACGGCGATATCGGTCATTGCCCGGTCTTCTTCTTCCCCTATCGAAAAAAAATATTTTCGCGGTACCAGACTCCAATTGTACCTGCGGCTTCGCTCTTATTCACCCTATTTCCGTCTCCCTCTCGCATGACTGCCTTTTGAAGTTTCGCGCACGAATTTAGATCGCGTCTCGTGTGCGCGCGGGTGTGTGCGCTTCGGGTGCAGGGAGGACATTCTTATTTCCATACAAAGCCGTACGATTTCAAGGCTCAGCCTTTGAAGGACGAGGGTTTTTCAGAGTCCCTTTCCAGCACGCCCATGACGCCGGCAGGTTGGGCAAGTGTTGCGATTTCGAATGTTCACCCAAGTCCTGGGAAAATTATGTAAACCCGTAGCGATTCCCACAATATGTCGAGTCTGTGCCGAGACGCGAAAGGGTGGATAGGGGAATCGCAAGCAATCGAAATGTAGTGCTGCGTCTGACAGGCGTCAACATTTGGCATCTCATCTCGCAAAAATCAAGATACTATGTTGTATACTATCGTAATACAAATGAGTGTTATTCTTCCCTCTTAAATCCGTTACTTACGTAAATTGAGATAAAGAATAACTCGCGGTAAGTTAAATAGTTTGTGTAATAAATCGTGCGATGAGTGACGGAGACATTCTTCGTGAATCAATGTCCAATAAAAGAGAAGAGAAGAGAAGAAGAAGAAAGATGCTATGCGGGTATTTAATCCACTTATATAAGAGTGCTCCCACGAGAATTAGATCCGTCATAAATGACGTGCCTTTGGAAATAATGCGATTAACTTTATTTAAATCCAATCAACTGTGTATTCTTATACTTTTGTACATAATTCCGGTATTTCGAATTTGCCCGTCTTTCACTGAATTTACTTTACATTACGTAATTTATTCTTCACTTACATTTAATTTATTATATCATGTCCTAATTATATTATATATATCCTGATTATAATCAATATACATATATCTTCTGTTTTGCAACACACTTTGGCAAGAAGAGAAGTTAAAGGTTACGGAACTATTATTGGCGAGTATTTAGTTAACAACGTCCCGACCGACGCAGGAATCGTGTTAACGCCTCAGCTTCCATTCCGTTCCTACGCAACAAAGACCAACTGCCAGCCCGGTCATTGTCCCCCTCTTCCGGTCCTATAGGATCTGGTTTTTCTCCGTTTTCACTGGACATTCGATCGAGACATATAGCCGACATCGGAACACTCGCGACTATCGAAAGGCTCGCTGCGGGAAAGGGTGCGTAGGCGAGAACTACGCCTTCGGTATCGGGGTACTTTGTATCGCGTCTGCAGCTAAATGAGGAAATAATTTTTCGAAAAGACGCCCGACCGGCTTCGCACAAAGGCGTACCCCTGTATTACGAGACGTCTTAATGTCCGGAACCAAGATCGATCGACCTTCGAGAGTTTGCGCCGGATTGTCAGCACTTCAAAGGATCTGCGATATTCTTGGACGATTTTACTCACAGCAACCCCTATAACGTTCTCGTTAGCATAGATCTGCCGGATGCAGAAAATCTCACCAACGAGAGCACAAAAGATGTGTAATAGCATGACGCATATAAGCGAGGTAAATCGAATAAGAAGTTTTTCATCATATCGATCACACGCTCGGTGCGATTAAATTTGCGTTAGATTCAGAAATTATCGCAAGCTCTTTAATATCTAAAAATAGGAATCCTTCGATATAAGATTTCGATACAGATATAGATCACGATAAACAAATCGAGGTAAAAAATTCCTCGATATTCCATAGCGTATTTTCATTCACGTTTAATCCTCAATCAGTTTTCTATCCGAATCCAATCAAGTTCCTCAAATCCTCTTCCACTCTCGTTGTAGACGAGAGAAGAAATCAATGACTCCGCCCGTCCGCTATATCGCAGCCATATTCCATCACATTTCGATGTCATATTTTTATTACCGTTCCCGTCAGTAAACACATTACAGGTTTCTCACATTAGATGGGTGCGCATAGGAGCAACGATAGTCGCGGCGGGAAGAAATATCGAAAAGACGGAAGCGGCAAAGTTGCACGAGAGCTATATAAGTATGCCGCGCCCTTCTCTCGAATCTCGCATCTGTCTTCCCTCGTATTTCGGACCTCTCGATCATCCCGTCGTATTTGCCTCCTCGAGAGAAGGTTCGTCCTTCGAGACGGAAAACCTATAAGCTTCAAGAGCGGCTCTAACAAGAAAAGGGACACCGGAAAGACAAAATAGAGCAATGCCAAATGAGAAGTCATAGTAGAGATATCAAGACAAACAGACAAACTGAGGACGTTTATCTGTCGGTATAAATGTATCTTGACGCTCTTACTCACTTCTCTTCTATTTCGTGATTTCAATTGTTAAGTCTCAAAATGGATCGCGTTATGTTTATTACTATATAGTTGTCTCTGTATTTTTTTCTAACTATTATAATCGATGACTTTTTATAATTACTATTTTATGATTATTTTAACGATTATATTTTATTCGATTATTTTTTTTTATATCCTTTAATAAAACGGAATGTCTTCGGAAACCGACTTACTACGCCAATAACAGTGGCAAAATTATGTAAAACCCGGGATCCACCCCGTCCGCCATTGAGTGAGCCAACAATGAAGTTTTCTGCATAATACGATAGAACGGGCAGGGGACTTCGAATGTAAGGGGCACGAATGGAAAAAGGGGGCATACGTCGATTTATTCTCTGTTGCAACGTCAAATCGTGTGAGAGCAACGAAACTTTGACTTGAGTCAGAAATATGCAACGTTTTATATTTTTATAAAACGTTCAGGAAATGTAAATGAAAGAGATAAAAGTTTCCGACACGCACGTAATATTATTAAAGTCAATTTAGTTCTTGTAATCTGAATTGCTATCATCACCCGGTGTTAAAAAACGTCTTACGCTGCGCTTTTTCATTATCTTCTCTTCGGTGAAACGTGTAATTACACGAATCCTCAATTTACGTGCGCGCGATCGCAAGGCACAGCTGTTCTCGAAACAGGATGATAAATCCACGTGCTCCAGTAATTAATTTGACAAGGACGGATACATTTAATTAATTAAATTTAATGGCTTGCTTCATATATATATATATATATATATACTTATATATATTGTGCTAAGCTATATATTGTGTAAAGTTATTCGAAAAATAAAATTTCAAGTAATGTTTTTAATCTTTTTTATAATTTACTAATATTATCTAATTAAATACAAAAATGATTTCACAGTCACGATTACAGAATTAATTACAAAAGCACTTGCTGCACTGTCAGTGAAACAACAAGCATACCGCGTTAAAAAATTACTGTAAAGATAAAATATTATTCGTTGTTTTCGAGAATAATGTGACATATCGCACGGGGCGCGAATTATGTGCATAAAACGCGGGAACGCATGCTCGTGATTTTACCGCGTTTTCACTTACAACCGGGCGGGGAACTGTAAAGACGAGTTTTATCACGATCGAAGGTGAAAGAGGATAAAAGAGACATGTGCCGCCTGTTGCTGTCAGCCGCGTTGCCGTGTAAGTGCCGTGAAAAGGAAGAGACGATATCATCGAACGAGAAAACGGCAGGGATGGGAGGATGTTTACGAGAGCGTTATAGCTTCGATCCTTACCGGTAGTTTATCACGAGCAACTGACTCCGCACTGGATGGTATCTGTGCTGACATATAAAGCTACTTTTGCCCATCCCTCTCATCGAAAGACACGTTCTCTCGATACACAAATTATTTCTCTTTCAATCATTTGTTCGGGCGTAAACGAAAAAATCGCATAAGCAAAATTATGTTACGATAATACGAATAGGCACATTTATTTGCGATCAATAATATACTTAAACAATTAGCAACTGGATTACTCTAATATGTCTTTGATATGTGATATGGTACGAAAATTTTGTTTTGTATTATGTAAAAAACTATGAATATACTCTGATTGAGAGAGTAATGTATATAGAAAATATGTGAAATTATCAATTAATATATGTTGTCATAAATAATTTGTTGCAATGTAAAATCGTTTTTAATGAGATTTCGAGCTTTTCCCAGTTCTACCGGATCTCGATAATGGATCTCGCGCACGCGTGAACCTATTAAAGAGTTTTCCTTTTCGCTACCGAAAACTTGGAAGGCCCACCCATACGGCCGATGTATAAATCAAACGTCCGCGGCATGATTTTCACGGTGGAAAGGAGCATCTGTCCAAGGGATTCATTCTTTTTAATAACTGTCACCGAATGGACCCAAATGTGGACTTTTACATAGTTAATTTGATTTATGTGCGTGGCGACATTTCCTTTGAATCTGGCAAAGTTTTACAAGAAGTAGATCTACTCCAATATGAACATATTTTTTCTCTCTAATAATAAGATTTATGAAATAAATTTGTATTATTTCAAATCTTATTCAAGCTTGAAGCGTTCTTTCTCAATGAAAGTGAATTTACAATTCGCTAATTCTAAGGAAGCTGTACTATCGGTATGTACAAATGGATAGTACATTTTATATATGTATACCTACGTATATAATAATAATTTTATTAAAAAATTATTTCTTTTTATAAATACTAATAATTATATTTTTATTAATTTGTCTTAGCCTATTCATTTTGAGATAATAAATTTGCAAAATGTTATATATTTATCTTTTTATTTATTAGTGTAAATTTTTAGTTCTTTTATATATAATAATAAAATCATAGAAATAAATAAAAAATATAAATTTCAATAATAAAGTTAGATATATTAAATATTTTATAAAAATAAATAATGTATGATATTTCTATGGGCAGCATTTAATTTCATAAATTCAAATATATATTTTTTATATAATAATTTTTACAAATTTAGTATCTCAAAATTGGAAAAAGAATTTAAACTTACAGTTACGTTGCACAGAAGCGGGGTTTAATACACATTGACCCATACCTATAACATAGAAATATACAATTTATAAAATGCTGTCTAAATTAATTAATATTTAAAAAATAATTATTGTACATAGTTAAGTTTTTTATTTGTTTTAAAAATATATATTTAATAAAAAATTGCATAATTTGTGAAAACATTTTTTATATATATTTTTAAATATTTAAATAAAGTATAATAAAAATCTAAAATATTTTTAAACAAGATGCATGTTAAACAATAATATAGAATGGATTGTGGAGACGAAAAACAAATCATAATATTCATAGGTGATAAATAATAAATTATAGATTAAAAAATTACTCACGCCATAGTTCTTCCGCTGATATCTGACGCCTTTCCGAATCTCCTTCTCCTTTTCTTTTCGTGTTCATTGCTGCTTTTTTATAACACTCACGGAAACACGACTATTATTCGCGCACAATAATTAGCAGATTACGCACGGCACTCCCGCAGTGTGTTATATCGTTACGGAACAAGAATGTGAACTATCGTTCGCGTGCGCGTGACAGACTCGAAGATTGTGCGACCAATTTCACGCGATATCTGTCGCAGCAAAATTAACCTTTATTACTAATCACAAATGTCTTCGCAAGTTAGGGAAATTTTACTCGCTCAATATAAATAACATAAATGACTAGATACGAAATAAATTATAGGTTAAAAATGCTTATGAATGTTTATGAATAATCTTTAATATCACACAATTATCTTTATATGCGAGTCGAGTTAATATCTAAGACTCGAGAATCCGTCCAAAAAATGTACATACAAACAAATCTCACTATTGCACGTATGATTCTTTGTTCCATTCTATCAATTCAACATTAGACTGATGTATTATTCTTATTTCACGTTTCGAAAAGTAACGCGACTATGTATAGAACGATATGTACATACATATATGTACGCTGCTTAATCACTCGACAACAAAATGACGAAATGTGAATTGCAAAAAGTAAGCGGCAAATTTCAATAATCGTAGATAATAACCGCGTTTTTCATACCTTTTCGTGCTTATTGTCGCGACCGCGTTCCGAGAGATATATCAACAATAATACGACGGTCACATGGAGCGTCTCACGTCTCTGTCTGTCCGCTCCGAGTCTCGTCGCGCGAATGACAACAAAACGATAAGGCGCGAACAAAAATGCGCGTCAAAGTGTAAAGTTGAAGCGCCGAATTTTAATAACTGTAGATAATAATCGTGCTTCACACTTTCATGTACTTGTCCCGATCGCATCCCGGGAGATAATATGTCGCATGGAGCATTTTTCACTCTCGTGACGCGAAAGGTAACGAAATAATAAGATGCGAACAGTGCACTCTAAATTGCAAAGATCGAATGCAAAGAATTTTAAATTGAATTGTAGAGAATAATCGCTTTTTATACCTCTTCCTATTTGTCGCAATCGCCTTTCGGGAGATAATATATGGAGAGTCTCACGTCGCTGCTTGCCCGCTCGAGTCTCGCCAAGCGAATGACAACAAAACCACGGTATGTAAACAGTAACGAGTTATGTGTGTATATAAATACGATCCAAATGTCTATCAATTCGTCACAGAATATTTAACCCCTTATAAAATAAGTATGTGCGGAATATTTTATTTCTTGAGTTTTTAATTAAAATTATTATTAAGGACTCATTAATAAATTATTATTAATTAATTATAAATTATAATAATATATTCCACGGTTTTTGATTATATTAAATCTCTTTTGATTTATATATTAGGTACAGTGCATTTTTAAATAATGCAAATAATTTTGGCGCGTAAAAATAATTATATATAAAAATAGTTTAATATTACATTTAATTCAGCAAAAAATTTAAAGTGCGATACGGGAAGTACATTTTGAAATCTAAGGGTTCAAAAACTCTGTGCCATAAGAAATGTTTCATTGAATAGAGAAAAAATTCGTTGAAGATCTCCGAACACCTGAATAACGATAAAAATGACCGTAGCGATGCCCTCAGCACGCGCGAAAAACGGCTGCAGTTGCGAGAAAGAAGCAAAAGATGACGTGAAAAAAAATTTGGTTGAATAATTTAAACCGACTTAGCCGCGATTTCTTTTTTGTGAAAGGGCGGAGGGATGTTGGCGGCAGATGCAAGTCTGGACCACGCTTCGATGGGCATCTTGCTATGTTCACAGTGGACGCGTGCTGTTTTGGATTAATTTTTTTCGTCATCTTTTTTCTTGCTATGCGCTAAAGATGTTGTGGGCACATGCTGAAGACCCGAAAGATAGTAAATAATAAATAATTTTTATTTTTATATTATTGAAATTTTATAAGCAGCCCTCAAAATTTTCATTATCTAATCAGAATGTGAATTAATTTAACAATAAATCTTTTTATTTTTATGTATTTTTTTGAGAAAAAGTAATTAACAAATAAAAATAGCTTTGAAAAAACGGAAACTCGTTAGATAAAAATCATTTATCCTATTGATTCACAAATATATAAAAATATTTATTTTAATAAAAAAACAATATTATATTTTTATATACTCTATATATAATTGTATATATGTATATATAACTTTATATACTCGTAGAAAATCCTAATTAGTTAAAAATAGTATATCTCTAAAATACTAGCGAAATACTAACAATGAAACTTTAATTAAAGAATAACGGATGGTAAAGGTAAGTTTATAAAGCACAAAGTGGGCGGACGGAAATTTGCAATACTAATTGCAACTTGGTTGGAGAGTAGCAAGAGTGCGGCGGACGAAGTTTGAAGTTGATCAAGTTACGCTTGGATGACATCGTCTCATCTGCGACCCTCTCGGAGCTTCCTACGAGAGGAGGCTAATGAAAGAATAAATACTTGATGCCGTGGGCCTAATTATGTCGCGGCTCTTGAGTTAAGGCGGGGTTGTAACTATAGGAGATGAATCAGAGAGTCTGCAGAAGAGGATTTTAGAAAGAAAGTTACAACGCGAAGTGTGCGGCTGCGCGTTGCAAGAGAGGGATCTAAGATTGGTTGCTCGATCTTGAATAATTGATAACGGTTCCGCGCGTGGGCTTAAAAGCCTTTGACTGCTTAATCTTTTACGGTTAAAAGTACCGGTGTTGCCGTTACTGGATTCTTATAACAAAACAACTTGAGAAAGTATAAAATATAAATTAAGAAATGCATGACAAAAATATATCGCAATTCTGTTCTCTCGTTCTTCTTAGCAAACTTTTTTTAAACATTTAACAAAATATTTCTCGAAATAAAGATAAAAAGAAATTGATTGACCGACACTGGCTAAGGTGAAAAATTTTTTATTAAAAAAGACGCAACGTTTCGACCCCGAATTGAGTCCTCTTCAGGCTACAAAAATTAAATTATACAACTCAGTTAAAAAAACATACAATAATCAATAAAAATCGGATACAGAAAATCATACATATAATAAAGTGTTAAACAATACCTGTTAATTTAAAGTACATGGTAAATTAAATGATCATAGTGTCTGTTTGTTGTAACCGATCAGAATATGACAAACTTGAAAGTAATAAAAGAACAGCAGTGTTCATTTTGACATATAACTTTACATTAAACCGACACACAGACAAGATCTCGAATAAATAACACAATTAAAAAGAAAAATAGAAAAATAGAAGTCAACCGAATAAAATAAAATTAAATAAACAAAATAAATAAACATAGGGACGCTTCTAAAACACTTCATAAATGGTAAAAACAAATTATACATAAACTCTACTTAAATAAAATAGGGGAGAGATTAAAATTAATAAAAATACCGATATCTAAAATACATTCAAGATAGTATCGTACATATCATTTAAGTTTTCAGTGTCTCTTTGCAAATTAATGGAATTCTTTTGTTTTTTGATAAAAATTATCTCGCTTATCTCTCTCTCTCTTTTTTACATGTACTTCGTTATGTAAAATGGACACATTTGACCAGTCAAAATCATGGTTAAAATATTTTTCATTTTGTATTTATACTGTTAAAATTAATTACAAGTTTTTTTCCTTTTTTACAATTTTTACCAATTAAAATAAAATGTTTTATACGAAAACTTTAATATCACGCTCAAACTGTAATTAAACAGATTAAGGGATGACACGAAGGTATCGGCAAATTGAAATTTACGATTCTTGCGAACTGATTTACAGATCTGTCGATCTTCTTCTTTCCGTATGATCAAAAGGAATATTAGCCTTTCGGCAAGGCTCAAGAGCAATGGCCGTCGAAGGCAGAGCACGGCCGCCCGGCGCCCTTCATCGTTCCACCATAATTTCCGAGAATGAGATAAGCTACAACATCTCTCCCCGGACCCTCGGACGATGCCATGGGGGCTGCAACCCTCTCCCTGACTCAACCCCCTCGACTCTTTGCGCGCTGGGGTTGTATCTGGGGAGCCTTCGTGCAACTGACCAATGCGCCATTGGCTGGCCGTACTAATCAATAAATCGTTCTGTGCAACGGTACCGAACCGACGTTCAGACGCCCTTCGTACCAAAGGGGCGACCTTCCGGTTCACCATCCTCGCGCGGAATGGACGCGACGATGCACTCTCCATTCTCATCGACCGGTTCTCTTCCACGATTATGTATAAGATGGAAATAGCGATCTCACACGATGACTCGCGATTAAGTCTCATTCTTACCTTTGAATCGTTTCATCTAGGTTTTATGATGAATGTTCCTATACACGATGTTTCTCAATTCAAAAAATCGTACGCAAATACATTTTCTATAAAGGACCCAAATTTATTCTCTGTCACAAAATTTGGTTGGAGAACAAAATATAAAATTATTTCATGGCAGATGTCAATAAAAATGAAAATTAAACGTGCAAATTAATGGAAAATGAGAAATATTTGTTTGCGTCTAATTTTAATTCTAGGGCAAAATTTCTATTGCATTATGTCAAAAATACGTTTGTAATATATAAGTGTAATTCAATATCGACTCTTTGCCGGTGTAAACACTAATGCGTCTACTGATAATAAGCGTTTGCGAGGAATTGTTCGACCCCGATATTTCATAAGGACATCATAGCATCCCCTTGTATGGTTTCTTACGTCTTTACGGAAAGCTCGTGGTGGCCATTGATCGATGGAGACGGAGATGCGAATAAACAAAAGTTTGCGCCGTGGAGAGGGTGCTTGCGTCATCAGTCATCGGTTTTGTCATGTGTGCTTCTAATGCGGACAGTAGATCCTGCGGATCGTAGCTCCGTAAAAGCCACGAAGAAGGAAGGTCGAAGATGGGGATCATAACATATATGATTTGGGCGGAACTTTTCTTTTTATTTTCTCGCCTCCGTCAAGCGGGACGGCCAAGTAAGATTGCTGGCAAAATTCACGTCGTCGCAAATATAGTGCTTATATAAATAATAAAAATATATGAAAAATAAACTAAAGAAGAGAAATTTAGCTCTTTTTATTAGAAACTATATTTTGTAAACATTAAAAGGTATTAAAAATTGAAATAAATTAATGTAGAAATTCAAGAGAGAGACAATCACCTGTTGGACTCATGAAAATCTACTGTAACGATAGTGCATATGTGGTTGCAGTTTTCTGAAAATTTCTAAATCTAATCTAGTCTCGCGGGATCGGAAAGAGGGAGGGTCGCGCAAGAGGTAGATCCATCAACATCCGCCTTATGGTTACACGTGAGCCCGGCTTGCACAATCGACTGCGTTTCCCTAGAAGCGAAGGGTCAACAATGGACTTCTGGATACACCCTACCAGGTATAGGACCATTTTGAATACGCATAACGATCGTTCATTGTGGTCTTTGGTACGGCCCTACGGTGTTTCTTTGAAGTTTCCGGAAAATTGCGGGAACATTACGCGATTCGAAGTCTCGACGATCGGAAAAAAGGTACGATTCGAGAAGCGAGGGTGCCCTAAAAAAATATCTCATTACGATAGCAATCAATACACATCTTGTATGCTGTATCGTATCGAGCGATTGATTAATAAGATTTTTTTTTGCGTTAAAATGGTTAAGAGATGTAAATTTCCAAAGTATAAATATTAGCTTTCTATTGTATAAAATTATAAAATGCTTATCGCTCTCTCTTATAAATTAAACTTTTACATAATTTGCGCTAACTTCCTATGCGATCCTTTGATTAAATCTTTTCATTTTACATTACAGTTGCTGACGTGCTATAGGAATTTAATTTGCCAAGAAATTAAATCACGCGTCTTTGTATTAATTAACAGAAACAAGACGATTGTCGACGCCTTTGGACGCGAGAGAAGCGAGTTAAATTACTCGTTACTGGAGGCGCGGAAGATGACCCGGGGTGAAACAGTAATCCCGCGCTGTAAGTAAATTTCTTCTTTGTCTGTTTTTTCTTTCGACGACGATCTCCCGCTTCCCTCTGGGCATTACACGTTGTTCTACCGGGTCGAAGTTTGTTCCGGCAACTTAAGAAGACATCTAGAAACGCTCTCAGGTCCGCGGAGGATGAGATAGGGTCCGGTTGCCCTGGATACGGATCTCGTATCTTTTACCAGCGTTTACTTATCCTGTCGAATATGAAAGCTCGCGTTATAAAGCATGCGGTTATAACAAACATTTCAATTTAAATACGGTAATCTTGACACTTTTCTAATTGATTTTATAGGAGAAGGATACCTTTCAACAACCAAATTTTATACACAATGTGAATAATTTTTTATATTGTAATAGCATAATTATAAATATGAAATGTCAATGTATTTGATAAAATCACTTGGTATCTTACGAACTTATAATGTATAGCGGATAATTAAGGGAACAACATCGTACAAGCGCACGACAACATCAAGGAATAGTTTCAGGCTTAACAGGATACGCGACCGGTCTAGGCAAATTAAATTGGATACGAAGAAGCCAGAAACCCGTGACCTAGATATGCGCGTCGAATATCACACGGTATTAACTCCGATAATGATCAAAACGTTACACTTTTAAGATTTCCGGGTATATATGCGGTCGCTTCGAGAGTGACTTACATTATTGTTGAGAGCACACGTGTCATCAAAAGAATTTGATATCAAAATTGTAAGAAGACTGATCTTTGTAAATAACGACATGTTTAGCTCAACAAAGTGATTAAAATTTTTCAATCAAATGGCCATAAATTGAAAATAAACTTATGGCGAACATAATAACGAAAGTTTAAACGGTTCATGCGATAATTTAGAGGCGTCCTATATATATATCGCTGATTATGAGATTATTTTCTTATTAGGGGAGCACTCAGGTTGAATTTGATAGGAATTTAATGAAAAAATAACAAAGATGATTACAGATGACTTACGCG